ATGAACATATTTGCTTTTCACCCTGTTTACTCTTCCTACCAAGATTACCACATTCATGATCACCACAGCAGAGTGTTTTGTTTATATCGTAAATCTTTTATCAAATGGCAATAAGGATAGCACTTCTTACTAACAGCTATGCATGGTCCATCACAATGATACTGGTATTTGTGGACAGCCGTGGACCTGTGCTTCTGTGCTAAGACCTATATGTTAAAGCAATGATATCTGTTAGGGATGAAGTAAACTTGGAAACTAAAGGGCTTGTTATTTCTGCTAATTTCTGTACCATCTGGTCATGGATTTACACCAATTGGATCACTAGCTTGAATAAAATTTCTCACCTATCAAATAGAGGAAAACCTCATCAAAAACCTTGACCAATAAGCAATAATTGAAATGAATTAGAAGTTACCTCTGTTCTGGCAATTATAGAGATGGAAATTACAGTTTACAAGGTCATCCATGAAGTTACAAAGCAACATGGGATATCCCTCACAATGTGCCATTTTGATGTCTCCTAGAAGCATGGCCATGAGGCTGCTGGCAGATCTGTATTATTCCAGTTATGGACCTGTAGCATCAGTCTTCCACATGAGAGGAACTTATACTCATATTCAATCTATTCAATAGATGGCACTGTAAACTAGGCAAAGTTTAGTGTATGAAAATCGTGTGCTCATGCTCATCAGTGTATGAAATAAGACACTTTTCATCTATGTGCAAATTGAAGATAAAGATATGTAACAGAACAGAGATTATCCATTTTTTTTCAAGTTGCTCTTAATGTTTAACTTGAGAAGACAAATATACCCTGATTGCATCATATTACTATTACAATCTGTAAAGTAGTTCATATATTACTATGCTCTTGTGAAATTAATTATTTGTAATAATCAATACCTGCTTTTCCAAATTCATAAACATAATGAATTCTTTTAATATTGTCATACTACTATTATATAAAGTTATTTATATATTTATTTTTATAATAACCTTCTGCACATGTAGGTTTCACAACCAGGATTTTGGACAGTATTGAGAAACTCCATTAGTAACCATCATAGTGTGATATCTGAGCCTATCACATGTCCCACATACCAATAAAAATTATTAGAAACCAATTGAGACAGTTTTCAGTGAGAAAATTATATGTAGAAGTAATAGTATTAATCTGCAACTTATACCAAGAAAATGTGGTTTCTATTCTATGTAGCAAAATTGTATCCCATATTCATTTTGGGTCATTTACCCTCAGGGTTCAGGGGGGTGGAGACCCCTGGCTAGGCAGTTAGGTCAGATTCTGATGTATTGTATAATGACCACAGGAATCCATATCATATCCAATCCATATATTTTCTTTTTCCTTTTGGGCTCTCAGATACTTGTGTCCAATAACTCCAATAACTTGTGGCAGAAATACATAGAAAATAAGTTTCTTAGATTTGTTCACTATGTTGTTTGCAAATATTATTTTCCTTATAAAAGATGGCCGGTTAAAACTTCATCATTACCTTGTTTTTCTTATAAATAATAGCTGTGGGAAATAGACTATACTGAAAATTCACTATTACTCTGTGGTTTTGATCAGTCCTGTCCTCCTGCCATATTTGATTTATGGAAATACTTATACTCATGTTGAGCAATTCTTTTTCCTTAACCCAATCACAGTGGATTTATGTAATAACCCTGTAGTTTTTTGTGAAATTTGTTACATACAGATGGCTCCACATATGCTTAGCCAGCAAGGAGTCGATCAGTATCTCCAAGTGACCGATCCTAATTTCTCCATTCTTATTGATACTATGAGTATCAAATTGTTATCAAAATCATGGTAATATTAAAGACAATGAGATAATGCAAAAGACACTTTCCAAAAATAAGAGAAAAGGGTAAACAGGTGAGATAGCTCGGACTAATCACTGACTCCTTGGTGACTAAGCACTTGTAGAGCCATCTATGTGTCAAGAACAAAAATTAACTTATACTATGGTATGCATGGCATGTATTCTTGCCATCTGAGCCAAATGGTTTAATATCTAACCCAACATGTCCCTTATGGCCTCCCTTACTCTCGTGGGGTATGATTGCTACATTTACGAGCAGCAGAGGGAGAGAGGAATCCATTGGTACCAAGACTGGTCGTGATCTCTTATAGGCAAGTGATCGAAACAATACACTTTATTTCAGTGCAGCCCATCTCAACGTTTAGCCAAAATCTATGGACAGAAACAATGCCAATACTGGCATAAACAATGCAAATCTTGCCATTTTTAAACTTCTTTACGGAAACATGAAGCATATAATCCCAAGTGTCCACACGTCAGGGAAACCAATGTCAAAGGAAGCCACACATGCACCATACTTACTGTCGGATGTTCATCAACAATACAGTGCTCGCAGACATTGACCCTGTGTTCAAAGCAGAACTGATTTGTTATAGTCTTCTTCGCGCATTTACAGAGTCCCATTCTGACGGACGTTGTTGTGCTCTGCCACG